TCAATTTAATTTCGATTTTAATATAAATGACTTTTAATGTAAAAAAAAATACTTATTCAATCTATAATTAATTGTAATAAAGAAGGCAGTTAAAAATAAAGTAAAAATGGTTGCGAATTTAAGTAGAAAAAGCTATAATAAATACTGAAAAAAAAAAAAACTATTGGTAAACTTTGATGAGTTTACAATTATACTAAACCTATTTTTAATGAAGGTAAATTAATATTTTTGAAGGAACTATTAGTATAAAATTCTAAATTTTTTGAGTAGACAAAGGAGAGAGAAAAGTAAAAAGTTAAATATTATATAGGAATAAAGTGAATTTATTAATTAGATTTAGAAAATTTGAAGAAGTGAAATTATGAAAAGACTGTTTTTCACTGAAAGAAAATAAGTTACAGTCAGTTTGTGTAAAGTTTTTAAGAATAAGATACTTATGTATTGTATCAATTTGATAGTTCTTAAAAGTAATTAAGATAACTATACAAAATCTTAATAGTTTTTATGATACCCTCTTAAAGATAGCTGTAGTTTAGTAAATTTGACAGTGAGTATAGAGGTCTAGAATTATATAGTTATAAGAGCTTATTAAGGGACAAGATGCATTAAATGAATAGTATCATTATTAAGAAAAGTTATACTACTAAGAATAAAAGAATTTGTATTTATATTTTATTTAACTATAACTTGGTTATTTTAGAGATCAGAGAAGGTAGTCAGGTTAAATAGTTATAGCAAAAATTATGATTAATGATTGTATTGTTGATAGAATTCGATCATAGTTTAGATTTAATTTTTATTCTAATAATAGAAACCATTTGAAAGTCCTAAAAGAGCATATGATAGATTGAGTAATGGTATAAAGGTTATTATATATAAATATATAATTACCACTAGTAATATCCATTTTTGATGTTTTAGAAATTTATTGTCTTAGCTATATGTCTTAATTATATGTTTTAACCTTTTTCACACTATGTTCTAAATGTTTTATCTATCCTATTTATATCTCATTAGTGTTCTATCAAAGTCTTATTAATATCTTATGATAATACTGGTTACTACAATAGCTAATGAACTGTTTCATATAATAAAAAGAGTATTTTCTAAGATCTTTAGCATGTTTTCTATGATAATAATATTGTTTTAGACAAAAAATAAGAAAATCATTTGTTTAGAATGATAATAATATTCTAAAAGAATAATAAAGGAATCATTCAATTGGAATAATAATATTGATCATTTTAGATGAATAATAAGAAAATCTTTTATTTAAAATGATAATAATGTTCCAAAGAACAATAAAGGAATCATTTGATTGAAATGATAATATCAATTATTTCAGACGAACTATAAGAAAACTATTTGTTTAGAATAATAATAATATTCTAAATAAATGATAAAAGAATCATTCATTTAGAATGATTGAAATCATTGTTTCAAATGAATGATAAAAGAATCGTTCATTTGGAATGATTGAAATTATCATTTCAAATGAACGATAAAAAAATCATTCAATTAGAACGATTGATATTATCATTCTAAATAAATGATAAAAAATTGTTCAATTAAAATGATTAATATTATCATTTCAAACGAATAATAAAAGAATTGTTCATTTAGAATGATTGAAATTATTATTTCAAACGAATGATAAATCAATTAGAATGATTAAAATTATCATTTTTAATAAATAATAAAAGAATCATTCATTTGGAATGATTGAAATTATTGTTTTAAACAAATGATAAGAAATCATTCAATTGGAATGATTAAATTATTATTTTAAATGAATGATAAAGAAATAGTTAATTTGAAATGATTGAAATTATCATTCTAAATGAATAGTTTTCTTATTATTTGTCTAGAATGATTAATATCATTATTCTAAATGAATAAATGAACCATCCAAAATTTTGGATTAATCCAAAATTTTTGGTTCAAGTCAGATTTTTTTGAGTTCAGATTAGATTTATAATATAATCCAAAAAAAATCTGAACTGAACCAAAAATTTTCAGATTGATTTTTTTGCAATCTAAAATTGAATTAAAGTCAATCTGAACTAAAAATTTTCAGATTAATCTAAACCATTTAGAGCTTTAATATTGTCTCTTTTTTCTCATTTTTATTCAAAAAATAATAACTTATTAGATTAGAAATTAAGGTAAGAAAATAATAGAAGTTTATTTATTTTGAAAAAACTTTGATTTTTGATTTGTAGAATATTATTTATTACTGTAACAGAACTATCATAATATAATTGATTTATATAATGCACTGTAAATAGTTATATAAATAATATAGTTAACATGATCAATTTTGTAGATATATTTAATTTTGTAATATAAACTGATATAGATCAACATGTCAAACATGTCAAACATATTTAATATATTAAATATATTTGATATATCTAATATATCAGATATACTTAATATATATGATATATTGGATTTATATTAAAAGTATATAAAGGGGACTAAATTTATGATAAGAAAGTAATTATCAGTTATTAGATGTTACTTATAGCAAATTTCATAAGTTACAGGATACCTGGTAAAATTTTTGCTAAGAAGTTGCTGAGTTTTTAGATTCTTAGGTTATCAGCAAATTGAAAAAATAATAAACACATAATATTAGTCAATCAATTTTTGTATTTTTTTTTATTATATCACTTTGGATAATAAAGTTGTGTATTTTTTGTATAATGCTATATAATGCTTAATACAAAATTAAATGAACATATTTGTTGGTTAATAATTGAAAGGACTCTAGAAAAACTTTCAAGTAAAGCAATTACAAGATAACTTAACATTAGTAAATCTTCAGTTTCTAGAGTTTTTCTAAAATTTCAAAATATGAATATGTAGAGAATTTATTATCAGCATTAGGACAGATAAGAATACTTAAAGTTGATGATATAAAATATTTAGAAAATCTTTAAAAAAGAGAGTGGACTGGTATTCATAAAAATTACAATCTAAAATAGAATTATGGTTGGGATGTCATATTAGCTATTATACTATTTAGAGAGCAATATATTACCTTGGTTATACCCATAAATATGTAAAGAATTTTTCTAAATATTTTTATAGTTATAAATAATTTTATTTATTAACTTTATTTATTATATTTAGTTATCTAAACTAGCAATAGAATGTAATAAAAATGATAGATTAAATTTTATAGTTCATATGTCACAAAATTCTTCAATACAACTTGTATTTTCTGATGAGTCTGCATATAATAGAAAAACACTTTCTCAATGTTATAGATGGAATTTTAAAGGAAAATATGCATGTAAATACACATTTTTTGTTTGTGAAAAATAATATACTATAGAAGGAGTGTTATATTTTAATAGTCTTCTAGCATATGCAATTCAAGAAGGTCCTATGAATAGTAATTATTATACTTATTTTATTGAATATGTTTTGGTATGTATTATTATTTTCATAAATATTTTTAATATATATTATTATAAATTAATTTTTTTTATCAAAACTTTTTAAGATAAATATATATCCAGATCCTTATAGTATTTTGATATTAAATAATATTTTTATATATTAAGGATAACATTTACTTGATATTTGTAATGCAAAAAAAGTTCAGATTGAATTTTTGCCATTATATTCATCAGATTTAAATCTGATATATAAGAAGTTTATAATAAAAAGAACTTTAATATATTAATTACTGTAGCTTTTGTCATATTTTTATTTTTATTTTTTTTTAACTTATTTATTTACAATTAATTATAGATTGAATAAGTATTTTTTTTTACATTAAAAGTCATTTATATTAAAATCGAAATTAAATTGAATCTATATAAAATCCTATATAAGATTTAAATTTAACATATATAATCATCAATAAATATTTATCAAAAGTATATTTTCAGCATAGTGGATATATTTAAATGAATAAAATTTATAAAATTATAGATTTATATAAAATAATAATAATAATAATAATAATAATAATAAAATTATTTATTAAAAAGTTCATTAAAATCAATTGTAATTTTTTTTATATTAATTTACAAATTAATATATTATTCAAAAAAAACTTCTTCAATTATTTGATCAGATAAAAAAACTTTTCTATCTTTATTAATTGAAGATTTTACAATAAATCTTTTATATTATGAGGGATCCATTGGAAATACAAAATTAATAAAATCAAAAATTTTTATGCCTTTTGTTACCTAAATATTAGATTTGTATAGTAATTTTTTTTTAAGATAAATAGTAATTACATTAGGCTTTTTTTTTGATAATGTAATTGATGTAATTGGAATTGTAGTTAGAGTAATAGAAGTAAATAAAATTGAATCTTTATTTTATAAAAGATTATTTAAATTTTTTTTTAGTTTATTTTTTTCTTTTTTTATATAATAATAATAAATAAATTAGAAATATAATATAAAAATAATTTTATCAAAAATCTTAATTAAAGGTGAATGAATTGCATCTATTCTTTTAATTTTAGCAATCTAATAATAAAAAAATTTTAATATTCAATTATAATATTTATAATTAAAAATGCTTATTACTATTGCTCTTGTCTAAATTGTAATCATTTTATTATTTAATTTAAGGTGACGTCCATCATCAGTAATTAAACAACCTTAAATATGATATTCACACTTAAAAAAATTTTGATATATTTCTAGTTTCATATTTTTCAATAATAAAGAAATATCTGATGTTTTCAAATTAATCTTTTTATTAAATAAAAAATACATATTATAATAAATAAAATATAAGAATAATAAAATATATATTATACACAATTTTTTTTTTTTAGTAGAGATTTTTCAGTATCATCTTCTATCACAGAACTTTCACAAATTATTTGCTTTTTTTTAGTTTTTTTTACAGAATATACACATAATTAAACATTCTTTCTTTTTTTGCATTCTGTAATAATGTTATAATAGTATTAGTATACAAACTAGATTTTAACATATACTAATTAATTATTTTTTATAAAAAAAAATCTGGATTTTTTAAAAAAAAACCTTAAAGTTATCCTGTATATATTTAAATTTTTTATATTTATTATATTTGTTAAAATATATATTAATAAAATAATAAATTTTTTTGAATTTTTTAAAAAATATGAATTAGTTTTCAGTTATATTGATCAATATAAACTTTTTATAAATGCATTTCTCTCAGGACTAAACAAAAGTATGTATTTATACAGAAAGTGCATTTATAGAAAAATATAGAATAATCAGTTAAGAATATATATGTATTATGAAATACTGTACCTATCATCTTTTAATTACATATGCAAAAATTAAAATGATCAACTATGCTGATAAATAAATAATTAATTCTTATGATAAAATGTAAATAACAAAACTTTTCATAATAATTGAAAAAAAAGTTATATTTTTGTTACGCAAAATTGATATGTTCCAGCCTAAAAAAATTCCAGCCAATAAAATCTAGACAAATTTAAATTTTTTAGTTTCAGATAAATATCTAGTTTTATAAATAAATTCTAGATTTTGAAATAAAAATCCAGTAAATCTGTAATTTTTATATTCTAGTTTAAACTTTGAATAGCATTATTGGATTTTAAATCAAAGTGATCTGCCTTAATACTAAAAGATTTCTGATAATATATAAAATTAAGTTCTATTTCTCCCCATTCGACTGACAGTTTATTTCTTCTTTTATTTTATTAAATATATTTAAATTATCTAAGCAATAAGGAATATCAATTGCTCTATCAAGTTTTTTATATGATTATTTATATTTATCAAAGCAAACTAATGTAATATATTCTAAATTAAAATTTAATTTATAAGTTTATAAAAATAATTAATAATATAGATTATATAATAAAAAGATTATATTTACGTAATATAAAAATATTTTTAAAAGTTGATATTAATGATGAACTTGATTTTGATAAAATAGGGTCAGTTAGATCAATATAATCTTTATTTTTAGAAATAGAATTTGTGATTTTTGCTAATTTGTGATTCTTTGTATCTTAATAATTTGAGTAATTATATTATAATACTTTATTAAAAAATTTATATAAAATAATACCTTTATAATATTTATTCATACAATCTATACAAATATTTATATTATTTAGATATGATAAAAATATGATAAGCAGAGAAATACTAGTAAGAATCTATTCAATAAATTCTTTATCTAACGTAATCTTTTAATTTATAATAACTTTTTGTGTGAAAGGCTTATGGTAAAAATCTACAATATAATTACATTTAATTTTCTTTTTTTCCACTTGCTTGATAAGTACATTTTTGATCATATTTATTTTTACAATCTAAGCAATAAGATAAATTGGATAAGCATTGAGACAAAACTTTAAATAAAAGTTATTATTCTAAATAATTATATTTTATTTCTTATTGCACAAAAATACTGATATATATATATATAACATTATTTATATTTTAAGTAAATGACATATTAATTAACATACAAATCACGTATTTATTATTTATTTCAATTTGCTGATAACCTGTAAATCTGAAAATCAGTAACTTTTCAGCAAAAATTTTACCAAGTATTCTGTAACTTATGAAATTTACTATAATCAGTTTATTTATAGAATTTGCATAATCTTTAGTTAACTATGTGATTAATTCCTTTCTTTTCTTATTTTTTATATTATTATTTTATCTTTTATTTTTTAATTTTATTAATAAAATATTTAATATAACTTGTAACTTTTATATAAATTTTTTGAGTAATATGATTAACATCAGAACCTAACTAACTAAGATATAAATATACTTTACAATATATAATAGAATCTAATCAATAGAAGTATAAATATATTTTACAGTATATAATAGAACTTAACCAACTGAGATATGAATATACTTTACAATATATAAAAAATTTAACTAACTAAGATGTAAATATATTTTATAGTATATAATAAAACTATTAATTTATTAAGTTAATATTGAATTATTATATAAACTTTAAAAGATTTACCACTTAAATATTCTGTCTAACATTTGTAATTACACATTAATATTACATAATATGCATTTAATGAAAATCAGAAATATGTTTATTTTTATCATACATGTCTATATGTATTAGCTTTATAATGCTTTGTATAATAAAACAGATATATTATTTTATTATAATAATATTCAGAATCTTATTTAAGGATTGATCTGAAAAATTTAATATATGAATTTATAATTATCATCCACCTCTGAGAAATTTATGGTTATATTATTTTCATGAATATTATATATATTTTTTAACATTGAATTATATATAGATTTTATTTCTGATAATTTACTCTTATTTTTGCTGATAGTAATATTTTAATAAGTATATACAGTTAATCCTCTCTAAATACATCCTTATTAAATATATATATTATATATTTTCTTTCTAAATGCACGCTCTCATTTATTCTCAAGTATATAGAATTCATATAGAAATTTTCTCTTTAAATGTACATACTCTTTAAATGCATATTTTTTAAAATTTTTACTATTATTCTGAAGAGATGCATTTAGAGAGGATTGACTGTATACTATTATAGCTAATATTACCATAATTAGACTTTCTTTTTAAATATCTAAACAGATAATAAAAAATAAAGTTCACTATACTTATTTAATCCTAGATATACATATCCTTTATTTTTCATACCTAAAAATCTGATAATTTATTATATTCATAATTAGCAATAAGTAAATATTATTTAAATAAAGACTAAATAAACTGTTACTTTATTTTTTTTTCTAAGCAAATGAAAAAAAAAGGTCTTTTCTTATAATTTTTATAAACCTATTGTATAATTATTGCATAGAAATTTTTAAAGCTATAATTATAATATTTAGAAATCAAGAATCCCTAATATTGCTTCATTATTTTTTTTAGACTTTTATATATTTATCTAATAAATTAGTTATAAATGCTTTACCTGTATTAATTAGTTAAACTATTATGATTTTTGTCTCATTTTTCATTTTTAATCTAATATTTTTAAGTTGATTAAAATAGTTTATAGATAGTAGTAAATTATTTTTCATTGTATTATTTTTGCAATTTGAATATTAATAAGAAGTTAATAAAATCATTTTTTACTTGATAAATAAAGCACAAAATGGTTAAATTCTGAAGAGAAATCTTAAGAGAAACTATTAACACTTAACATGATATTATTATATGAAAGAAGACATGGATGATGATGATCTAAAGGATGACGTCAATCCCTAAGAAATCATATATGTCTTCTATGTCATCTATGTCGTCTATAGCATATATTTCTTTTATACAATATATTTCTTTTATTTATTTTATCTTATTTATCTCATATATTTATTATATATTATTTATTTCATATATTTTATTTATTATATTTATTTCTTTTATATCTTTGATAACTTTATATTTTTCATTTTATATAAATAGAAGACAATTTCTTTTAGCTTAGCAGTATGTCTGACATATAGTTTTATAAAATAGTTTAGTTTAATTTTCTTAACATAATTATATAGTACAGAGCGCTGACTGGAGCAGTACTT